CAATGCTTGATTGATGTTGAAAACATAGTGATGCAACATGGTAAAAATGTAGTGACTTGAAGAGTTCACTTTCGCACAGAGAAGATATATATAGTGAAGAAAAAAATGAAAGAAGATATGATCAAAAATTATTTTGAGAGAAGAATATTACAATAACCTGAATGAAGGACAACGAATTATAATGAACGAAATTATATCTGCTGTAAAGAGTGACTAATTCCAAGACATTTTGCATAGATGAACAAGAAGAAACTGAGAAAAGATACATTTACAAGTGTTTAGTGCATAAATTGACAGTACAACAAGAAGTAATTTTACCAGTTTCCTGGACTGGAACTGCTATCAATTTACTACCAGGAGCCCCCCCCCCCCAGTGGCACAGTGGTATGTCTGCGGACTTACAACGCTAGAATCCGGGTTTCGATACCCGTGGTGGGCAGAGCACAGTTAGCCCATTGTGGTGCTTTGTGCTTAACTTCAAACAAATAAACTACCAGGAGGTAGAAAAACTCATTTCGTGTTTAAAGTTCCAGTGCCTTTTTTAGAAAATTCTGTTCCAAGTATAACAACAAATAGTAAATATGCAGAATTATTAACAAATACCTCTCTGATTTTATGGGAGGAAGCGTCGATGGCAGAAAACATTGCCTTAGATGTCTCGGTTAGACTGCTTAGAGACGGAAACGGAAGAAATGAACTGTTTGAAAACAAAATTATTATATTTGGCGGAGATTTCAGACACTTGCTTCCACTTGTTAGACACGGATCTCACAGTACAATAATCATTGATAAAATCTTAGATGTTTTGGCCGAAAGTTAAAAAAAACAACTGAAAATAACAAATACATATTAGAACTATACTCGGACAACAAGATTAATAAATCCGGGAGATGGACAAGTGTAATTAATTCCTCAATTACCAGATGATTGGTTTAAAATACCAAAAGAGTGTATAACAGAAGGTAATTTAATTGAAGAAATATTTGACAAAAAGTTAATTCCAGAAAATGTTAAAACATAAATAAAGGGTAATATTATGTGTAAAAAAATGAACACTGTTTAAAAATGAACGATGATATTGCGGAAAGCATTTTAATGCGAGAATCGAAAACTTATTTTAGTGTGGACAGCATTTGTCATTGATCCAAACGAGTAACGTAATATACCAAAATATTCCCTCCCCCAGTGGCACAGCGGTATGTCTGCGGACTTACAACGCTAAAATCCGGGTTTCGATACCCGTGGTGAGAAGAGCACAGATAGCCCATTGTGTTACTTTGTGCATAATTACAAACAAATAAACAAGAATATTATATTGGTAGTTTAAGTTTTAGGCTTACTGCCACATAGGTTGATATTAGAAATAGGATCAATAGTCATGTTAATTAAAAACTTAGACATTAAGAGAAATGTAAAAATGGAGTTCGTCTCTTAGTAACAAATCTTCACATTAATACGACTGAAGCAGAGATACTAACTGGTGAAGCTCAATCTTCAAGACTTTTGATTCCAAGAATTAATTTGACGCCATCTAATCCAACTATGCCATTTAACATCAATCGAAGACAGTTTCCAATAGAAATCGCTTTTACGATGACTATCAATACAGTTCAAGGCTATATGCTCCATAAGCTAGGAGTAGATTTACCGGAAACAGTTTTCAGCCATTGACAACTTTATGTTGCATTTTTAAGAGTCAGAAGGTTTAAAGATATCAAAGTTATAATTTCAAAAAATTATGGAGAAGTAAAACTCGCTAATAAAAGTTATTGCAAATAGTCCTAGCGCATTATGAGTGTAATGCTAGCCCTGTCTTAGAATACTCTGTACGTAGAAATCTTAGGCAGCGCAAGCAGATAAATTATAAGTAGTCATATGATTCATTAATTAATTATGTTTTTTGAATCCATCTATATTATACGCTAGTCATTAAAACCAAAGATTAACATTATCATCTACTCTTTCTACTTTTAGACGTTTATATAGAAAAAGAGAGAACACAAAAGTTGGACATGTAAATATAATTTAGATATACATCTCATTTTCTGAGTCAAGTACAATGTTTGTCAAGCAATGTTAAAACTCTCCGAAGAAGTTCGAAAGTGGAAAGTTCAAGCTTTCAATAATTATTACGTTGTAACTGTTTAGAAACTTCTTCTCTAATAACCTTCAACTATTTAAAAGGTAAATAAATAGAGTGCTAAAACAATGGCCAATTCATCTCATTAATCATTCGATACAAGAAAAATGTATTCATCCATATCATTTGAAAACAATTGTCTGGCTAAAAAACACAATATTAAATCAAACAATGTAGAATCAGTTATGTTTTCTGTAATGATAAATTTATGGACCGCTATTAGTATTTGTATGTGATATCATGTTACAATCAAATATTTAATCAAAAATGTGCTGTTAACCTGAATTTACCAGACTTAGCTGTCTGGATCCATTGAACTAGAAAGTACAAGAACAGAATTACTTTCTTTCAATCAGCGCTGTAACGACGTCTTCACTACAGAACAGTTACGGCAACTCTGTAACGACGTCTTCACTACAGAACAGTTACGGCAACTCTGTAACGACGTCTTCACTACAGAACAGTT